GAGGGAGGGTGTGTGCCCGCCCGCTCTCGGCCCAGCACGGCGCCGGCCGTGGCCGCCAGATGTCCGCTGCGGAGTTAATGACACCGTATATTTAATTCAGCTTTTTCCAAAGGAAAGCTTAAAATCAAATGCATTCTAGCTCCCTAGTTCAGTTTCATTTAGAAAGGGAAAACGTGAACAAATTCAGAAAAGAAATGTTATAAGATAACTATTACAACTGGTTCTCAGTGCTTACCCCTCCCCAAGACCAAAAGATCTGTGCTGCAGAACAAAGACATAGGCACTTAAACCAAAGCCTTTACCCTGACTAACTGGCAAAGGCAAGGAGGCCAACGTAAAGAAAGAAAAACCTTTTTTTTAAGCAGGCAGTTTGTAAAAGTATAAGGAAGAGGCGGACAACATGGACATGTGGCCTGAGGCCTGGGCTGGAGGCTCTGTGGGCGGGTCTCTGTGAGGCCCTTGCCCACTCCTCTAGCCTGGGCATCCGTCTGCTCAGCCTCGCCGTGGCCAAGGCAGCAGCACTCAGCCTCCTCTGGGCTCTGGGGGGCCAAGGCTGGGGAATGGGGGTCTGGCGGCATGCTGAACTTGCCCAACCTGGAAATTTAGGATTTTATGTTGCAAAAGACTTGAGTCGGTAAGAAGGTTTGGTTTGATTTTGAAAGTGATAAACCTGCCAAGAGTCACCAGCTCACTTGATTATGCTGCAGTGAGTGTCTTTAAAGAGGGAAAGGTGATGGTGATGGAGGAACTTCTGAAAGATAATTGAGGCCCGGGAACAGGCAGGGCAAAGGCATTGAAACGGTGTTCCCAGCAGAGCCTTCCCTGAGACTAAGCAGGGCAGCATTTGCAAGCGTCAGGGTTGGCCTCCATCCAGGGTCACTCTTGAGCAGGCTTGTCTGCCTTGGAGCTGTTTGGCCAACGTCCATAACCTGTTCTGATCCCCACCTGCCACTAACTGGGATCGGCACAGGCCCAGAGAAGATCAGAGCCTGCTTCTTGGGTAGCGTGAAACCTTGTTCTAAAAGGGAGCACTGCAGTGTCATCGGGGGCAGGGTAGGGGTGGAAGGTGGCAGCGCGGTCTCCGTGGGGAACATGAATTCCTGATGCTGCTGCAGGCCTTCCAGCAGACAGAATGTTCAGGGAGTTTTCAAAAGCTTTTGACAAGGTTCTGCCCCAGATCTGTGAAAGTGGTTACTGTGGAAGTGGAAGAAATACCTGGTCATGAATAAGAAAACTAACTGAAATCCAGAGGTGGGAGGTGAAGATCGTTTCTTCGGTCAAGAGGTTTCCCTGGAGATGAGCGCTGGGACCAGCCTTACCAGGCGGGGGCGGGCAGTAGACGTGCCACCCTAGGCCTGTCAGCAGAGGGAGAGCTGCCTAACCTTTGGGAGTAAGCTGCTGAAGGTTCATAGGCTCTCTGACAGAGAACCTACATTGTGAGCCAGAATATACGTACTGCGTTTAGGGGGAAGTAGTCCGAACTCTTCTTAAAAGGTAAACTGTTACAATCCAGGAAAAGGTCCCACAAGCCATTGACAGTTGGAAAAATCAGCCCGCCGTGCCCCCGTGGCCAGAAGCCAGCCCTCCACTGGGCAGAGCCAGGACGGCAGGAAACGAAACCCCAGCCCTGGGCCGGCCTCACGTGCAACAGCGCGTGTAGTTTCTGGGGTTTTGTTGAGAAAGATAAAGCTCTAGTAGTTTTGTAGAAGAGGATGAATAAAATGACGGTGACGATGGGGGGGTCCCTGGAGACCACAAAGCTTCCGACTTCCACTTAAGACTAAAAAGGTGGATGTTTCTGTGTAGAGAATGTAACGAAAGTGCTATGGTAGCCAATGTGAATTTTCACCAAATACTAGAACATGCCACTTGAATCCAGGAAGAAATAACTGAAGAACAAACGAAAGAAAATGCTACGCGAAGACGCACAGCTTTTCTAACCAGAAGCAGTAAGAGGCTGTAGGGGGTGTGGCCACATCTCAGGAGGGCTGGGCACTGTGAAGACTTGGCCCAGAACCGCATTCGGGGTGGGCTGCCACCACCTTCTGCCCGATGCTCCCGGAGGGGCCAGCCTCTCCTCCGGGTGGTCCCGGGAGAAGCCCGAGCCCAGCCGGGAGTGTACGTTTCACCCAGGGGAGAAGGCTGTCAGATCAGCACGTCTTACCCTGCGCGGTTTCACTCTCCCAGGCTTGTGCTTTAAACATTGACAAGCAGTGAACAGGGGAGAATGTATCTGGCCTGGAGATGCTTGTGCATCCGTTCACATCCAGAGTTCTGTGACACGTGCCCCTGCCCCCCGCCCCGACCGCTGCAGAGGGATTGCACACAGTTAAGCTTTTCTTTACAAGTGAGAGAACAAATTTAGGTCCGGGCCTGGCCCCTGGGCTGCTGCTGCGACCCTTGTCCCCGTGTGGCTCATTGCCCCGTCCACGACTCTCTGATGTGCCCAGAGAGAACAGTGTTTCCGTCTTTCCCACGCCGTCCTGCAGTCTGTTCGTGCCGACCTGAGAGAAGCATGGCTGCAGCCACAAGGGGAACCTGCCTGGGTGCCATGTGCCTGTGCCCATGACTGCTTTTGGCTTTGAAATGAGTTAGTGAAGGCAGAGGGGCTTTCTCTCCTCCCCATCACAGTGCCACAAAATCGTCCACCCTCTGCGATAAGTAGGCTAGTCGAACCATTGGAATAGATCTTTTAGAGGCGACCCCTGAGAGTTTGAGGCCCCCCCCAGATCAGCCCCCCTCTCCCCACCTTGATACAGTGTTGGGACAGGAGGGAACAGCACTGCCCTCAGCAGCAGGTACTTTGGCTCATCCAAGAGGCAGCCAGGCATTTTGCACTAGGAAGAATCAGTGATCGCTTTTCAGCAGACTTCCATGGACCAGAAATACGTTATGGAGGAACAGATTTTGCTAAGACATTATCTAGGTTTATAACTCAATCATGGATCAACCACATGTGGCTAACTTGCAGTTTAAAGGGGTCCTATCACTGAAAACCAGATTTTTTTGGCTGACTGCTTTTAGCTAAATATGAGAAAGTCATCTGTTGTCAAAAGGTTTAAACCTTCCCGCCTTGACCTTTAACAGCATGTCAAACAATCCGCATCAGATGCCGTAACATGAACTGCAGGAGAAAATGGTACAATCTGAGTGAGTGGGAAGTGGAATCAAAAGGGTTTGCTGTCCTTAGAATGTCCTAAAATGTCAAGGCAGTTGCTTGTGTTTAACTGTGAACAAATAAAAACTTATTGTTTTGCACTACTCTGCTGTACTGACATGAAGTGGTTCATGTCGGCCTCTGAGGGGCTTGCGGGCAAAGTAGGAACTAGTCCCAAGATGCTGAAGCCTCGGGGCCTGGGATTGCTTGGTGACCCCGGGTGGCTGGAGGAAGGTACTGCCGAGGGGAATCTGGCTTCAGTCTCTGTAAGACCCTTTTGTTCTGGCAGATCATGTGGCAAACAGCCACAGATCCTACCCTGATCTGCCTCAAATTCATGCCCTTCAAGTGTCCTGGAGATGTGGGAAGAGGTGACTGGAGGCGGCTCTACCAGCAGACTCACAGCCAGGCAGTCTGCCGGTTCTGCACCGCCACCCACCCTTGTGTCCAGGGTGTGCTCGCCTTCCTAGGGGTTGGCTGGCAACTTGGGTTTAACACAGCCTCCCCCCCGCCTTTTTTTTAAGTTCTATTTTTATTGTTGATTTTGGTTTTGGGTATTTGAGGTGGGGGGGACTTAGGTTTATTTATTTTTTTAATGGAGGTACTAGGGGTTGAGCCCAGGACCTCAAGCATGCCAAGCATGTGCTCTACCCCTGGGCGATACCCTCCCCCGAACACAGCCCTTTGGATGGAGCTCAAGTGACACTGAAGTTGTTGAGAACTGATAGACCCTGAGCCTTGCCAACCGTGTCTTATGCGTGTGCCAAGGAGAGCGTGCAGCTCACATCCGCCGCCTTCCATGTGCCATCGGCTACCGGGAGGAAGGCAGGAAGCCACCACTGAACACTCGTCAGGTCCAGCCTGGCCTTCCTGGGAAAGGACCGGAGGCGAAGAGCTGCAATACAGTGTGGGTCCCCACTGCCCAGCTGCCCGGAAGTGGGTGTGCTCTGCCCACTGGAATGGCGGAAGCAGCTCCTTTGAGACAAAGCCTGAGAGGTGGCAGTTTTCAGTTTTGTCTGAGAAGTTCAGATGTTCGGATGTCTGGCTAGGCCGCTGGCTCTGCGAGGAGTCACTGTGCTGGCTTGTGGGCCTGTGGCCTGCACCTCCTCGAAGCGACTGGAGCCGGGGGTTCCTGTCCAGAGCGGCTCTGCTGCTGCCCGGTGCGCTCTGGTGTCTTCGGGTAAATGTCATTATCTTTAAGGGACAAGTCTCAGGAAAGCAAGCCAGGCAAAGAGGTGGTAGAACACCTTTTATTCTTGACTGTCGCCCCCGAGGAAGCAAGAGTACAGAAGCTAAGTCGCCCCCTGTGAAGGGAAAAACCAACAGTCAGACAGCACCTCTGGCAAGCTCAGGAGCTGGTGACACATTTTTTCAATGTCTGGGCCTCAGTTATGTTGTGAAAACGAGGTAATTATTCTTGTACGGGATCCACAAAATCAATTCTTCCAGCTTCTCTCAGAGTTTCTCTCTCAAGTAAAGGAGAGGAAAGGCCAGTTCATTCCCGTTTGGGCTTTGGTCCAGGGACCTAAACACTCCGAGGCAGCGTCCTGCGAGGCGGGAGCAGCCCTGCCTGCAGAGGTCCGGGCCTCGCCTACGGCCACTGCCGCCGCTGCAGCGGGAAGGGAGCTGTGCGGCCTCCTCCGGCCGGATGGCTCAGCCTGGAAAGCTGGACCTGGGTTGGACAGTCAGCTCTTTCCCAGCCTCCCTGCGACACCCTCTACCCACACACACTCTGAGGGTCCCCTTCATCGGCACAGAGCCTGACACTCAGAGGCGAGGGAAAGAAGTTAGAGCGAGAGAAGGAGAAAGGTTCTCAGTCGTGTATTGGGCAGTCCCCTTTGGGGTAATAAGTGGCAGGGACTGTGGGCGATGATGAAAATGGATCAGCTAGTGGAAACCAAGTTTAGTAACAAAGCACCCTATAGGAAGGGGAGGGAAGGGGAAGGGGTGGGACTGGGGTTGAGGCCTTACAGTTTCCCACCAGGTGGTCTCCAGGGAGGTTTTGCACATCCTTTGTCTGTCCCCCTAGGTTTGAGGCTGTCTTTTGTCAGTTGCCTATAGTTGTGTTTCCTTAAGCCAGGCTGGGCGCCTGCAGTCTGGAAAGCCCCTGCGGCCGCCCTGGTGGCTTCCTGGCGGGCCTGGGGCTCACTCACGTGCTGCAGCTCCTTGCGGGGCAGCTTCTCCGAGTGCGCAACCCATTCTTTCATCAAGTCTAGGACGATGGGGATGAGGCTGACCACGCCTCCGTAGTGGTTCCTGGCCTCGTCACAGCTGAGGTGGTTCACCACATCGTGAGGGTATCTGCAGGGCGGCAAGAAGGGCCAGGTGAGCCCTGCCGCGGGGACTCGCCGCGCTGCAGCAAGACACCGCCAGGCCGCGGGCAGGGCTCTCTAACCTGCCTGCACTTCAGACCTGCCTTGGGAGGTTTTAGAACTGTGCACGCACCGGGCGGGGCTCGGGGTTCCAGGTGCGGTGGTTCAGCAGGTTTAGGGGGCCAGGGGCCCCGGGTAATCCTAGTGTGAAAGGCGAGAGTTGTAAGCCACGGGCCTGCGGTTCGTAGAAACCTGGATTGAGGCCGTGGAAATCTGCTGTAACCCCTCCAGAATATACCGTTTCGTCCCTGTGACTCTTCTTAGCCTAATGTGTAAACAGCTTCCTCAGGAGTGTGGTGCTTTGTGCCGCGGATCCCCCAGGGCTCGGAATTAGGGGAGCACGCCTGCGGAGCTGACACCCATGGGAACCGGCTCCAAACGTCCCACTTCTTCCTGGGCCTCTGGGAACCTTGCCTGGTGCTGGCTCCAGTGAGAGGGTTTGTGCCTGACTAGATCTGGGCCCCAGAATCCCTCATTTTCAATAAAATGATGTGTGGGATCAGAGTCATTCCAGTAAAGCAATGGGCCTCGGGCTCCGGGCGAGGAAAGTCTGGACAGTGGCCACGCGGGTCACCAGTTCAGACGGAGCTGCCCTCTCGCCAGAAGCCTGTCCTTTCCTTCAGGACGCCTCCTCTCCCGCCCCCTCGCCAGATGCACACGCTGAAGCCTTGAGAACAGGACGGGCAGGGGGGTGGGTCTTACTTTGCTCGAAGGCTGCTTAAGTCGTTGCTTTGGCTAACGAGGGTTTTGCATTTCTCGAGGAGGTTGTTGGTGACGGGGGTGCCGGAGTGCAGGGCTTCGAAGTGCTGGCACAGCTTGCTCAGCTCTGTGCAGATGTCCAGGAACATGAGCAGGATGCGCCGGTCGGTGGAGTTGTTGCAGTAGTGCTCCGTGTAGCTCTGGACCTGCAAAGGCCGGCGTCACGGGCGCTGGGAGGACACAGGAGAACCCACTCTGGTCCTCCGACCTGCCCACAGTCACCGGGGAGAAGCCAGTAGTGTGGAAGTATCTGAATATACAGACACTGCATCCAGCAAACGTCATTAAGCGTCTCAGGCACCGAGCGGAAGGCTTTGCAGGCCTGATCGCACTTCGTCCTCACCTACATGCTAAGTGCCGGGCACCTCTTTACACCCCTACCTGACAGATGAATGTGGACACTCGGAGGGCTGAGACGCCCTGCTCAGGCACCCTGCCGGGGCAAAGCTGGATCTCACCCCCAGCTCAAGGCGCTCTGAGCCCAGACCTCCCACTGGTCCCCACGCGCCTGTGCCAACACCTGCAGCAGAGAGGGCTGGTCCCTGAGTTTTCACGCCACAGTCCCACTTAGAGGGCCCACTTAGAGGACCTCTGGGTTGGGCCACTCAGACTGAGGTGCAGACTAGACTCCTTTGTAGCGGTGGTGTCCAATGTTTGCAAGGTTAGAGAAGAGGGACATGTCGGTAAGGAGAGCTGGGAAAAGTTACCCATGTGAGAAAAAAAATGTAGTGTCTACCTCGTGCCGTAGACAAAAATCAGCTCGAGGAGAGCGGAGCTTAAATACTGGAAACTAACCTCCCATATGGGTGTGTTTGGCAGCAGGGAGGCTTCTCTTAAACCAGTCATAAAAGGTGCCAAGAAGAGCGGTAAGTTGGTCTAATTTCAACTCCTTTCCTTGGCTGGCGGTGGGGATCCCTCCTGGGTCAGGGCTGTCTCTCCAGGGTGACCTGAGATGCCTGACCTTGTGCTGGGGAGGAGCTGGCTGTGGTCCAGGTGGGATGAACTGGCCCAGGTCACACAGTCGCCTCCTCTCCACGACCCGGGGGCAGGGCAGCGCCCACCTCCTCCAGTTCCCAGGAACTGAGGTCTAAAGCAGGGTTTCCTGCTGCCACTGATGGCCTTTTCGTTCCAAGGGGATGTCTTCGCACGTGACCTCAAGTCGTCCCTTCCCAAGCACAGTCGCTTGGTCAGGGGACGAGACTCTTGATCCCACAGCGTATGCCCACACTCCAGCACCCCTGGCCCGGGTCTGTGGTGGGAGAATGGAGCCTGCACTGTGGTGTAAGCACAGAAGGGCACTGTCACCAGATGCCGAGTGTGTGTGTGGGTAACGTTTGGATACTTCTGGTCCAGGAAGGGCAGGGTGAGGGTTGAAAGTCAACACACGTGGGGCCACTATTTACCAAAAGCCTCCTTGAACCTAAGGCAAGAAGGAGCAGGCCTGGGTCACTCCACCCTGATGCAGATTCTGAGCAGAAGTAGGGGCGTCTCAGGTGCTCCTTCCTGGTGCTGAAAACCTGTTCAGTGCCCTGGAAATCTGAGCCTCTGGGGGATGGGCTAAAAAGGATGCAGCCAGTCTACTTTCAAATAGTCCGGAGGGAAGAGGGTACACGCAAACATGGCTAAATATTACAGATTGGTGTATCTCGGTGAAGGTTACATGGGCATTCATTTTCTGTAGGTTTTTAAAATTTCAAGTTAAAAAACTGGGAGAAATTCTTGCAAAAATTAAAGAATTTTTTGAAGGATGCTGCCAGGCAGGGGTTGCCCTCTGTGGCCCTGTGTGCTTCTCCTGAGCAGTTCTGAGCCCTGGTCCCCACTCTTGCCCCACCCTGTGAGCAGTCAGCCTTCGACAAGCCAGCTCCTTAGCAGGTAGCATCTCCTTAGCTGGAGAGGGTACCATCTAGGGTAGTGTTCCCAACACACCGTGGCTCAAGCCTGTGACTTCCTGGAAGGCTCGTTCAATCCTGAAGTCCTGCAGAGCAAACTTGGAAGGCAGCGAACCCCCCAGGAGACTCGGGTTAAACGGAAACATCCGTAAACACCACTGACAATGCACTAGGTGTGTCGCGGTTTCTCCGACCCAGTGGGGTCCACTGGCCGGGACCACGTGCAGCTGCTGCCATCCATCCCCAGCACTGAGCGCAGGGCCCCGCGGATAACGCAGGTGCTGGCTGCGTGTGTTCCGGATGATGTCATGGAGTCCGCCTAACGGCCCTAGGAGGTGTGTGCTGCTTTTTTCACATTTTACAGATGAGGAAGCTGAGGCTTAGAGAGGTGACTGGCTGGCCCGAGGTCACAGAGGTGGGCGTGGTAGAGCCGGGACGTAAGCCCTGGCTAGCTGAGCCTTGAGCCTGCGTTTTAACCCCTTTGTTATTCACTCAGAGATTTGCTGAGGGAATGAATGAAGGGCTCCTTCCACCACTGGGATCCGAGTCCTGATTCTGGCACAGATGCTCTTGCCTTCTCTGGGCCTCAGTTTTTCAACTTTCAAGAGAGAGGACTGGGCCTGGGTCCCGCCCCCACCCCTGAGTGCCCC